TTTTATTTTAAATGTTTATGTATGGGGGCGGGGCAAAAAAAAGTAAATATTTATGAATGTATGTATTTATTTATGGTTGTGCTGGGTCTTCATTATTGCATGGGCTTTTTTCTAGTTGTGCAAAGCCAGCTTCTCATTGAAGTGGGCTCCTCTTGTTGTGGAGCAGAGGATCTAGGTGTGAAGCCTTCAGTAGTTGCAGCACTCGGGCTCAGTAGTTGTGGGGCATGGGCTTAAATGCTCTGAGGCATGTGGGCTCTTCCTGGGTCAGGGAAGGAACCAGTGTCCCCTGCATTGACAGGCAGATTCTGATCCACTGTACCACTAGTCAAATCCTCAGGAAAGCTTGTTAAGAGGAGGCTGAGGCCACAAGAAAAGGTTGGTCCCATCAGGGATGAGAGGAAGGGCATTCTGGGTTAAGGGAACTGCAAAGTGGTCACACCAGAGCACAGGTTGAGTTCTGAGCAGGCACAGTGCCCTGGAGTGGGGTTTGGGTACTTCTGCCCTGGTGCACAGCCTCGGGTCTGCAGTGGGAGCGTTCCTACCTTCCTGAGACTGCCTGACACCCTGGAGGAAGCCTGCTCTTTCTGGTGACTGCGGAAAGGGGATGGGGGAGCATCTGCTCCCCTTTCTTTCAAGAAAGCACAAACAACGTGTAGACTGGGGGCACAAATTTTTCTGCCAAACTATCCCCCATTATCATCCCATTTTCCATCTCAGGAAATGGCCCTCCACCCCTCAGGACATCAGAGCAGGACCAAGGAGCTAACCTTGACTCCACCATGCATCAAGTGCAAGGTGCCCTGCTGCCAAAATGAATGCCAGATTGAACCACATCTCTGGTCCTCACTGCCCACTCTAGGCACCATCATTGCTCCCAGTTTCCTGATTCCACCCAGTCCTCCACCCACCCCACCTCTGACTGTAGCTCCTGCTGTCTCAAGAGGGTACCTGTAAACTCCCAAGTCAGGGGTGTCTCCCCTTTGCTCAGAACCCTCCATGGATCTCAGTTCACTCAGAGGAAAAGCCAAAGTTCTCCCCAGCCCTTGCTCTACACCATCCCCTCCATGCCCTCCTCTCCCCTAATTCCCTCCCTTCCTTACTGTACTCCAGCCACACCAGCCTCCTGGCTGTTCTTTAAGGCAGTTCCTACCTCAGGGCCTTTGCACATCCAGTGAGCTCTGCCTGGCACATTCCTTCCCTGATATTGTTAGGACTCCCTCCTCACCTCCCTCTTGATCAGCATCACCTTTTCAGTCTTTCCCACGTTACTCTACTTATTGCTTTAGGAATCCTGACATTTCCTATTCCCTTCCCTGCTTTATTTTTCTCTTAGAACTAAGCACAAGCTACATCTCCCTATATATATATTTAATGTTTATCTATTTATTTAGCTGTGTTGAGTCTTAGTTGCCACTTGGGTGACTCTCCATTTTCTGCGTCCACTTGGGGAATCTTTAGTTGCAGCATTAGAACTCAGTTATGCCACGTGGGATCTAGTTCCCTGACCAGGGTTGGAACCTTGGCCCCATTTGGACAGCAGAATCTTAGCCAATGGACCACCTTTACATATTGAATTTTGTTTCTGTTGCTCCTACTATTAATAAATGATCTCTGCATGATAGCAAGAAATTTGGTCTATTCTGTTCATTACTGTGTCCCCAGCACCTGGTTCACAGTAGGCTCTTTTTTTAAAAAAATTTACTTGTTTATTTTTGGCTGTGCTGGATCTTCCCTGCTTCTTGTTGTTGTTCAGTTGCTCAGCCGTGTCCTACTTTTTGAGACTGCATGGACTGCAGCACTCCAGGCTTCCCTGTCCTTCATGATCTCCCAGAACTTGCTCAAACTCATGTCCATTGAGATGGTGATGCCATCCAACTGTCTCATCCTCTGTTGAACCCTTCTCATTCTGCCTTCAATCTTTCCCAGCATCAGGGTCTTTTCCAATGAGTTGGCTCTTTGCATCAGGTGCCAAACTTCAGCTTCAGCATCAGTCCTTCCAATGTATATTCAAGACTGATTTCCTTTAGGATTGACTGGTTTGATCTCCTTGCGGCCCAAGGGAGTCTAAAGAGTCTTCTCCAGCATCACAGTTCAAAGGCATCAATTCTCTGGCACTCAGCATTTTTTATTATCCTCTGGTTCTAACTGTTGCTTCTTGACCTGCACACAGGTTTCGCAGGAGGCAGGTAAGGTGGTCTGGAATTCCCTTCTCTTGAAGAATTTTCCAGTTTGTGGTGAGCTACACAGACAAAGGCTTTATAAAGCCCTTAGCGCAGTGTAAACGCACAATCAAGGCCAGGTCAGCTCAGGGACGGGCCCCCTAGGGCCGGGAGTAGTCCTGTCGTTTGTTTTATGGCCGCTGCCGCTAGGCAGCCCTCAGGATTTCAATTCGGAAATTCCGGTGCTGAGCGCCCAGCGAGGGGGAACAAAGCAGGATCCGGCCAGGCACTCTCTCAACCCGGAAAAGTCAGGGTCCGGGTTCGGGAGGGGAAAGCGCAAGGTTTCTTCGGAGCACCGCCCCCTCGGCCCCCTCGGCCCGCGGCATAAAAGGACCCTTGACGCCCTGGCACCAGTCTTGGCCGCGCTCCTTGGCACCAGCCCGCTCGTCCGCCTGCGATGGCTCCAGGCGCCGCCGGTGCCGCGCGGCTTGCGCCCCTGGCCGTGCTCTGGACTCTGCTGCCGGGTGAGTTAGGGGCGGGGGCTGCCGTCGAGTCAGGATACGGGTGCGTCCTGAAGCCGTGGGAGGACCAGCCCGCGACCGGCTGGGAATAAGGCCATTCGTACTCAGGTCGCTGTTTCTGGAAAGTTGGATTTAGACTGAAAGTCAACAGCTGTGGGTTCCCGTCCAGACCCTTCATGGTCCGACTGTGCGCTCTCGGACCGCGGATTGCCCCTTCAGAGGATCAGCAGATTTCCCGCTGTAAAGTGGAGAAGTTAATAGCTGCCGCCTCTCAGCGGTTGGGTCCTGGCCCAGGAGGTGGTCTGCCTGTGAGGAGTAACACCCCAAGCTTAGGTAGACTGGGGTCCCCACCCCACCACCCCGCCATGCACACTCTGTTCCTCACCCGGTGCCCCCCGGGGGAAGTCCTGGACTCTGCTCCCGGGGATTCCAGGGCTGACTTGCCCAGGGAGCAGAGGTTGAGAAGTGGGACGCCCCAGCCGCCCTTCCACAGGCTCAGTCAGGAGGAGGGGGAGAAGGGGGACAGCTGGTCTCAGATGGTGGTCACTGTCAGAAAGTAAGAGACCGAAACATCCACCCCAGCTCAGCAAAGAGTTCTAATCGGGATTCCAATCTGGATTCTACCCCCTTCTAGCTGAGTAACCTCCCCTTTTGCATGGGGCTCTTGTCCATGGAATTGCCAGGCAAGAATATTGGAGCAGGTTGCCATTGCCTATTCCAAGGGATCTTCCTGATCCCGGGATCCAACCCACGTCTCCTGCTTTGGAAGGCAGATTCTTTACCATCTGAGCCACCAGGGGAGCCCCAGCCTCCCTTCAGGTCTCACCATTTCCCTCTGAAATGGGAAGGATCCCAGAATCACCCTTGGAGAACTCACAGAGCTGCTGTTTCCACATACCTCCATTCTAGATGGACTAGACCCAAAGCTGAAGACAGAGATCATTTTGACGGGGGCCCAGGGCGGACGGTGGCAGAGTTAGGATGGGTGGGCTCACACAGATATTTTTTCAGTTTGAAAACACCATGGTCTGGGGGAGCTTATCAGAACAGACCCCCTCCTTCTTTCCTGCAGCCACTGGCTACCTGCCCTGTGACTGTATTCGCTCACTACAGATAGGGGAAAATGAGGGCCAGAGAGGGGAAACCACTTGTCCAAGGGAGTGGGGACCAGCCTGATTGGAACTTCTTCACTCTTGACCTCTTGGGAGGGAAATGGACACTGACTTCACACCTCTCTTTTGCTAACATCCTCTGTGGGCACTCAGGGTCCTCAGAATGAAGACCACATCCCTGGCATGGCTTAACACTGCCTACATGATCCTCCTGACTTCATTTTCCCCCAACCTACCCCCTTACTCCACTCCAGCCACCCTGCCTCAGGACCTTTGCACTTGCTTTTCCTGGAGGTCATTTCCTTTTCTCTGGAATGACCCGCCCCTGCTCTGCATCCTGATCTCTGCTCACACATTCCCCGGTCACCAAGGCACTGTCTGTTCTCCCATCCTGTTTCATCTTTCCCAAAGCCCTTGTCAGCATCAGTTGTTAATTATGTTGTTTACTCATGACTTTTTCTATCTCCCACACTGAAGGCAGAGCTTTGTCTTGTTCAGGGCTGTGTTCCCAGCACGGGCTGGATGCAGTAATATGGGTGAGCCCTAGCTGTCATGCCTGACCCTTCCCCCTGCTTTTGATTCCAGGGCCTGGAGGTGCCAGGACATCAATACATCCTTCAAAAGCCATCATACCCCGTGGAGGCTCCCTGAGGGTGAACTGCAGTATGTCCTGTGACCAAAAGACAACGTTTGGCCTAGAGACTGAATTAACCAAGAAGGTGGTGAGCCATGGGAACAACTGGAAGGTTTTTGAACTGAGTGATGTGCAAGAAGACATCAACCTGTTGTGCTACTCAAACTGTCACAAGGAACAGACAATAGCTTCGATGAACCTCACCGTATACTGTGAGTGGTTGGGTCCAGGGCCTGAGCTAGGCAGACTGGGTGGGGGAGGCGGGCAGGGGAGTCCCAGCAGGTTGGAAAGGCTTTGTAACTTGGTGAGCGGAGGCAGGGTCTCATTGAGGGGCAGGAGGCCCATTTTGGAAAGTCTGATGTCATCTGGACTCCCTCCTTGAACTTCCTTGGGGTGCCCTTTGAATATGGACAGGGATTCAGAACGTTCCAGGATGCTGTCTCTCTAGGCCTCTTTAATAAGGTGAGATGGTCCTAGATCTGACTCTTTTTAAAAAAAAAACACTGCCGTGTGTTTCCTGGTAGTGTAGAGGCACTGATGTTGCCTGGGTTCAGTACCCGGGTATCTGGTCAGTGTCCCTACAAGCCTTGAGACCAAGAAATAGATAAATAAGTAAAGGATGTGAGTTAAAATTAGCCCTGAGATTTTTTTTTTTCAAACATTGTCAACAATCCAAAAAACTGGTAATAACTGGTCTGGCAAGAGTGTGGGGAAGCAGACAGTCTGTGGACATTGCTGACAGAGTGGGGATACCAAGAGTCACAACTTCTGGTGGGGAAGCAGACATCAGTCCCCAAAATGTCACATGTGTAGATCCTTTGACATAGAAATCCCACTTCTAGAAATTGGGCCTATAGGTGTTCCCATTCAGGAGGGAACTGAAGCAGGTAGGGGGTTATTCACTGTGGCTTAATCTGGAAGGGAAATAGTTTGCAAGTCACGCAAATGTAGGGAACTGGGGAGACTTCCCTGGTGCTTAAGACTTCATCTTCTGGTGCAGGGGGTGTGGGTTTGATGTCTGGTCTGGAACTGGGATCCCACATGCCACACAGCCAAAAAACCAAAACATAAAACAGAGACAACATTGTAACATATTCAATAAGAGCTTAAAAATGTTCCAAATTTTTTAAAATCTTTTAAAAAAAAATATAGGAGGTTGAGGAGAGAAACAATGGTTCAGTCATCCTATGGAATAGTATGCAACTGTGTAAAAGAATGAGACAGAAAATTTGAGGTATTGTCAAGTTCAAAAGAAGTAACGTCTGCCCAGAATGACTGTCAAGGTACCACAGTGTTAGGGAGACATGGGGGCGGGGAGAGAGAGGTTGTGTTTCTGCGTTAAAGAGCTCTGGACAGAAACACAGCAAAAGTAGCTGGCTGTGACGAGAGAAACCGGGGTTGGGGGGGGTGCTCCAGGAGAGGGCAGAGGATGCATTTTCTCCGTGTGCCTTTCATTTCCTTTGGATGTTTGAAGTGTGACAGTGAGTTAGCATGACATAAGCGATAAATAGATACACGAAATTCAAACCAAGAGAAAATGAAAAAGGAAGAAAGAGGGATTTCCCTGGTGATCCAGTGGTTATGACCCTGCCTTGCAGTGGAAGGAACACAAGTTCAATCCCTATTGGGGAACCAAGACACGCCTGTGAGCAACTAAGTCAATGTGCTGGAGTGATCCTCATGTGGGGGAGTGAAGGGGAACATATGGCTTCCTGATTGATTTTCACTTGACCCCCTTGGAAAGGTCTAATGATGCAATGAGGCCTGAGGGACATTCACCTTCACAGTGCCTGAGTAAAAGAAGCTTTGGGGCAAACCGTGGCTTTGTTTCTAGTTTCGGGAATGTTTGAACAGCTGCTGGCCAAGTGAGCAAAGTCCCTATACAATCTCAGTGACCTCTGAAAAACCCCCTGGAAACCTCCTCGTAGGACCCTCTGCATCTCAGCCTGAGATTGAAATCACTACCCTCCAGGTCTGAGTCCCGGCTCTGCTAAATTTCTCCCTCTCCGTGTGCCAGACTTTGCTTTAGTTTTCACCTCTGTGAAATGGATCACACAGTTTCAACCACTAGCAAAGGGTCACCTAGGAGAGACTGTAGCTTGGTCCTACCCCACTGCCAGTATTTAGATGAAGAAGCATCTCTGGGTGGCTGAAACTTCTCTAGAAAGTGTTGTAATTTTTGCAGGAGAGGCCCCTAACCGGAAGCACGCACAGGAGTTGGTAAGGACAAGCATGCTAGACAGAAGGAACAGGGCTTCCCTGGTGGTTCAGTGGTAAAGAATCTGCCTGTCAGTGCAGGAGACACAGGTTCAATCCCTGATCCGAGAAGATCCCACATGGTACAGAGCAACTAAGCCCGTGGGCCACAACACTGAAGCCTGCTAGCCTTAGAGCCCAGAATCCCCATCAGAGAAGCCACCCCAATAACAAGCCTGCACAACACAACTAGAGCGTACCCCCGTTCACCTCAATAATAGAAAAGCTCGCACGGCAAGAAGTCTCAGCAGAGCCAAAAATAAAAGAATAATTTTTTTTTAATGGGTAGACAGAAGGAGCAGCCTGGCCAAAAGTTTGGAGTGGGGAAACAAGCTGACGTGGGATTGGGGAGCTTAGAGGGACTGAATATCAATGGATTGATGTCACTGGAGCTGAGTTTGGCAGGACTTCAAATACCACACTGAGAAACTGGGACCTCCGTCCGGTGATAGGCAGCCATGGAGAGTGTGTGAGCAGGCAGGCATCTAGAGCAGAAGGCTGACCTTACAGGAAGCCAGGGAGCAGCTAGCTGTGGACCCAATCCAGGTCACACATGTCGTGGGCGGTGGTGTGTACAAGAAGGGAGTAGCAGGGACTTCCTGGTGGCCCAGTGGCTGAGACTCTATACTCCCAGGGGGCCAGGTTCCATCCCTGATCAGGGAACTAGACCCCACATGCTACAATTAAAAGATCCTGTGTGTGCAATGAAGACCCAGCACAGCCATATAAACAAATAAAAAAATTTTTTTTTTCAAGAATGTAGTTCTCACCTTGGAGAAGGAAATGGCAACCCACTCCAGGATTCTTACCTGGAAAATCCCATGGACAGAGGAGCCTGGTGGGCTACAGTCCATGGGGTCATAAAGAATGAGACACTACTGAGCATGCACACACATTCCTCACCTTAAAAAGTAACGTCATTCCAGTTTACAGTCAGCCTCTTAACTTCTGAAGTGGATTAATAATAGTCTGAAGAAAAAACATTATGAGCCTTCCCTGGTGGTACAGCAGTTAAGAATCTGCCTTCCAATGCAGAAGTTCCCGTCCCTGGCTGGGCAACTAAGATTCCAAATGCCAAAGGGCAACTAAGGTCCAATCACTCTGGATCCCGCGCACCATAACTAGAGAGAAGTATGGTTTGCCGCATTGAAGAGCCTTCTTGCTTCAAGGAAAGATCTGGCATGCTGCAGTGAGATCACGCACACATAAGGTAATAAATATTTCAAAGTAAATTAATAATGATAATAATAAGAGCCCTACTCTCATTAGACCCAGTTTATAGCTTAGAAAACTCAGGCTTCCTTTCCCTAACCCCAAGGGCAGGGATTATTCAGGTGGCAAGTCACTCCCTCACTGGCCAAAGCAAGGAAGCAGAAAAGCTAGGAATCAACTCCAGCCTCCTGACATTTTAAGATCACTGTTCTCTTTTTCTTGATGCTGGCAACCTGGGGAGAGGTGAACTCAGGTCCGAAAACCAACATTGCTGCTATTTAAGTGACACTTCAGGGCCTCTTGAGAAGGGACTAGAATTGGGAGGCCTCAAGACCCCTCCCTGGGAAGTCTGGGGGGTGTCTCAGTGCTAAGCCACAGTTCATTGGGGCTTTGTTTGGCAATTTCCACTGGCAGGAAGATCCAGGCTGGGAATTCTATTACCTCATGCAGAATGGAGACCCTGGCCTGTGGATACCCCACCCACAGGTGGTGGCTTCAGGGGATACTCAGGGCTTCCTTTTGAGTGTCTGTTCTGATATGCTTGACATTTCAGGGGATCACAGTTCATTCAGGAACCCTTAAAAGGAAACTCCTGGAAGGCCTCGAATCGGTGTGGGTGGCTCTATTTCATTCTTTCTAGAAATACAGAACACCTCCTGGGTGCCAACCGTACAACTGGGGACAAAACAGACAAACATCCCTGCCCTCCTGGGCTGATATTCTGTGGTGGGAAGAGTAGAGAAACCAATGAACTCAGTCGATGATCTTGTATGACAGAGGTGAGAGTTGCCGTGGAGAAAAATAAGGCCACAAAGAGAAGGAAGAACTTTTTATTTTACAGCAGAGTCTAGAGACTGGGCAGTTTAAGTGTAATGTATTGCTGGGACTCCTGGCAATAGACTTTGAACTTCCTTTCCACTTATCAGTCTCAGATCCTGCAGTGAATGAAGAATTGTTTTGCCTCATTCACAACCACTTGGGGAGGTCTCACCAGGTTACCTGAAGCTCTTAACATTCCGATCTGGCTTAGGTGGTTTGGGGACTGTTCTGGGGAGAAAATGGTGAGGTTCCTGGAGCAGGTGTGTCCAGGACCCCAACACACCCACTGTGGGCAGGCAGCCAGCCTGTCCTGTTCATACAACACCCCTTTCCCCTGCAGGGATCCCGGAGCGCGTGGAGCTGTCTCCCCTGCCCCTCTGGCAGCCTGTGGGTGAAGAACTTGAGCTGAGCTGCCTGGTGTATGGCGGGGCCCCCAGGGACCACCTCTCCGTGGTGCTGCTCCTCCAAGGAGGAGCTGGGCCGGCAGCCAGTGGGAAAGGGGGAGCCCACCGAGGTCATGTTCACGGTGCAGCCAAGAAGAGAGGACCATGGCATCAATTTCTCTTGCCGCTGGGAACTGGACCTGCGGTCACAAGGGCTGGAACTCTTCCAGAACACCTCGGCCCCCAGGAAGCTCCAGACCTATGGTGAGGCACTGGGGAGCCAGCAGAGAAGATGGGATGAGGGGGATTTCTTGCGTGGGATGCGGAGTCCCTGGGAAGGAGAGGCCCCTGGCCATAGGGCTGCTGAGAAAGTGGCAACCTTGATTGCAAAGGCTTCTGGGAAGAGCATCTTCTTGGCCACTGGGGTGGAATGTTTTGGGTGGGGTGCCTGCACTGCAAGATGATCTGAGAAGGCTGTGACCCAGGGCAAGTGGTATGTGTGTCCTGAGAAAAGAGTGACTCAGCCAGTTTCCCTGGAAGAGGGCGTTGCAGGCTGGAGGATGGAAATGGCCCTTGAGAGGGTTTTAGGATGTCTGTCTGTCTCCTCTCGGCCAGTCCTGCCATCGACCGACCCGCACCTTGAGGCCCCCCGGGTTGTGGAAGCAGGCTCACGGTGGCTGGTGAAGTGCACGCTGGATAGACTATTCCCAGCCTGGGACGCTGAGGTCTACCTGGTGCTGGGGGAGCAGAGGCTGGAAACCAGCATCACGTACCATGATCACTCCGTCTTGGCTGAGGCCTGGATCGAGGGAAACGAGGAGGAAGAGGGCACCACGTCCTTGAAGTGTTCAGTGAGTCTGGGAAACGAGATCCGGAAGACGCGAGAGAGCGTGAGCATCTACAGTAAGTAGAAACCCAAGTGAGCCTTTCGAGGGGGGTCGGGATAACGCTGGGGCGGGGTTAACGCCAGGGGCGGGGCCCACTGCCCACTGTGTGTGTGCCCGACCTGCAGGCGTCCCGGCTCTCTCCCGGCCGCTGAGCCCACCCGAGGTCTCAGAATGGACTACGGTGACCGTGGAGTGCGAGGCCCGTGCTGCCACTGTGGTGACGCTGAACGGAGACCTGGCTGGGCCTCTGGGCCCGAGGGCCCAATTGCAGCTCAACGCCAGTGCCGAGGACAGTGGGCGCAGTACCTCCTGCTCTGCTGAGCTGGAGATGACTGGGCTGGTGGTCCAGAAACACCGGTCCCTGGAGCTCCGTGTCCTGTGTGAGTGAGGCCGCTGGACAAGGACCCCTAAGCTCCAAGCCCACCCACCCCCACCCTGACCCTGGTGAGGCCCTTACTCAAATTCCCACCTAAGTCTTCTTACGCATAGACCCAGAAGGTGAGTGGTGTCCAGATCCCTGATCTACCCAATTCCCCCCACTCCACATTTGCTGTGTTTCTTCAGAAGGCCCCCGACTAGACCAGTGGGTTTGCCTGGGAAACTGGTCGTGGCAGGAAGGCTTGGAGGAGACCCTGAAGTGCGAGGCCCAGGGGAACCCAATCCCCAAGCTGAACTGCAGCCAGAAAGAGGACAGGGCTTCGCTGCCCATCGGGGATCTGAGGCCCATCAAGCGGGAGGTGGCGAGCACCTACCTGTGTCGGGCCACCAGCGCTCGTGGTGAAGTCACCCATGAAGTGGTCCTGAACGTGCTCTGTGAGTACTGGAGTTTGGGGCCACGAAGGGACTCAGAGCATCCACTGCAGGCACAAGGGGTTCAATCCCTGGTTGGGGTGCTGAGATCCCAGAAGCTGTATGATCAGGTGAAAAAAAAAAAAAAAGCCAGGCTGTTTGCCCTGCAGTTTCCCAGTTTGATATTGGCTTATGGCATCCCCTTATGTCACTTAACGTGTTCCTTTGTCGCCAGTCAAATTCAAGAAACGAATGCTATTAATTCATTCTAGGTGGTGCTGGAGACACTCACCAGGAGGACAGGATTCTGCGTTTCTCTTTTCCGTATCTGAGGACTACAACTGATCAAGAGGTTCACATGCCATCCACCTAATCCTACCTTTGTAAACTCTCTGACTGTTCCCTAATGATTTGATCCTACAGGGACGGTTGCTTGGACCTGTCATTTCATTAGCCATCTTCGAAGGGCTTCTAATCCATCTCTCCATCCTCACACTCTCTACATCTTTCTCATGTATCTACAAAGCACACATACTTCCTCAAATTCAGACATCCAACATCTACTGCCTTTCCCTAAGCCTCCTGTCCGAAAATAGTTAAATCTGTCATGAAAGGCAAATGGAGGTGGGTAGGTGTGATTCATTGTCAGCAGCATTTGTGATGTTTGTTTTAAGAGTGCATATTCTAAAGATAAAAACAAAAACAAACAGATTTGAATCTCAACTCCAACACTTGACACTCCAAGTAGACTTTCACAAATCTCCTGACAAGTCTCCACTGGTTTCATCGTCTGTAAAATGGTATGTTCATAATCTCAACCTCGAATGCAAAATGGCCCTGCCACTTTGGAAGACAGTTTAGCAGTTTCTCAGAAAAGCAAACCTAAACTTGCTATGTGGCCTGGAAATTTGACTCCAGGTAGCTACCCAAGAGAAATGAATGGATATGTCCACACAGAGACTTGTCTGTGCATATGTACAGCAGCGTTTTTCATAATACTCCTAAAGTGAAAACAACTCATCTGATGAGTTGGATCCATCAGCTGATGGATGGATCAACACAATTTGGTTCATCCATTCGATGGAGTATAACTCAGCAAGAAAAAGGAACAAAATGCTGACACATACTAACACGATGGAACTCAAAATAATTATGCTTACTTAGTGAAAGAAGTCAGACACAAAATAATATAAATTGTATGACCAATTCTATTAAAGGTCCATAAGAGACAGATCTATAGAGGCAGAAAATAGATTGGTGATTGCCTAGGGTTGAAGGCAGGAATGGGGATTAATTGGAACCAAGCATGAGGATTCTTGGAGTGATGTAAGTATTTCAAAAGTGGAGTGTGATGCAATTGCGCTACTCGGCAAGTTTACTAAGGAAACATTGACTTCTGTTCTTAAAATGGGTGAAAATTTGTGGCCTCTAAATTTTGCTTTAGTAAGCTTATTTAAAAAAGAATTCAAACTTCTAAATACATATTGAGCACTCTATTTTGTTTCTACCCTCAGAGATCTTACATGGTAATAGGGGAGACAAGCCATAAAAGCAAATATATAATACAATGTTAGGAAGTAATTTCCATTATTGAAAACAGGGTGGAGGCTCTTCATGGGATTAAATGTAAAACTACCATATGATCCAGCAATCTCACTTCTGGGTATATATCCAAAGGAAATGAAATTGCTCTTGAAGAAATATCTGCACCCCCATGTTCTTTGCAGCATTACTCATAGTAGCCAAGATATGGAAAAAACCTCAGCATTTGTCAATGGATGGTTGAATAAAGCAGAAGTGCTACAGGGCCTTCCCTGGTAGTTCAGTGGTTGGGAGTCTGTGCTTCCACTGCAAGGGGCATGGGTTTGATCCCTGGTCAGGGAAGTAAGATGCCACATGCCACTCAGTGCAGCCAAAAAGAAAGAAGAAAGGAATCATCAGACACATATACACACAGGAAATATTATTCAGCCATCAAGAAGGAAATCCTACCATTTGCAACACCATGGAGTACATGCCTGGAGGACATCATACTAAATGACATAAGCCAAACACGGAAACATAAATACCATGTTTCATTTACATGTGAAATTTAAAAAAATCAAACACACAGAAGCAGAGAGTAGAAGGGTGGTTTCCTGGGCTGGGGGGAAATTTGATTGAAGGATTTAAGCTTTCAGTTGTTAGATGAGTAAGTTCTGAGGATTTAATGTACAGCGTGGTGATTATAGCTGATAATACTGCATCGTGTAGGTGGATGGTAGTATTCTCACTCTACATACAAAAAATGCTAGCTAAGGACATCCCTGGTGGTTCAGTGGTTGAAACTCTGCATTTCCAATGCAGGGGGTGCAGGTTCAGTTGCTGGTTGAAGAACTAAAATCCCTCAGGCTGTGTGGTATGGCCAAAAAATGAAAAAGAGAACCGAGTGAGCTGATGACTGCATTAGCTTGATGGTGGTAGTCATTTTACAGTGGGTGTATTATATATATCAAATCATCACGGTGTACACCTTAAATATATGTGATTTCTATTTGTCAATTACATCTTAATAGAGCTGGGGAAAATGCTTTTTTAAATTTCCAAGTGGAGAGGTTGTGAAATACATCTCCCTGGGCTCTACCAGGACCTGCAGAATTTGCCTCCAGGGCACAGGACTCTGCATTTTCACCCTGGCCCCCTCCTGATGTACCCCATCCATGACTTAACTGTTTTCAAAAGGCTGATTTGAGGCTGCTTTTAGGCTCTAAGATATTGTAAGATATTGCCCAGAGGAAATATGGCCAGAATAAGACCATTGCTTTGTCCCTTTCATGGAGCTGAATCGGTCTTTCTCTTCCCAGGTGATTCCACAGCCCCAGGGGACTTTTGGCAATGTCTGAGACATTTTTGTTCTTCCCCCTGGGGTGGGGCTGCTGCTGGTATCTAGAATCTAGATAGAGGTCAAGGATGTCCCTAATCCCCCAAGTTGTTATTTTTTTTTAATAGTCACAACACAGAGTACAAAATAATGTGGTAGTTTCTTTACAGTCAGCCAAAACTGCCATCTGGTGTGTGGGCCCGGCCATGTGACCACAGTGACCCATTGACTGAACAGCTCCTCCCGGAAAACATCTCTGGAATGCCTCTTGGGACTGGCTTCAGAGCTCACAACACACTCTTCAAAAGTCCTCCTTAGACATAAATTGTGATTCTTAAAGCATCATATTTGACCGAGAGAAAAAGAAAAATCTGACAGTCCAGTGGTTTAAATTCCATGTTTCCAGTGCTGAGGGTGCAGGTTTGATCCCTGGTTGGAGAACTAAGATCTCACATACTTGCTTGCATAGCTGAGTTACTTTGCTGTGCATCTGAAACTGACACATCATTGTAAATCTACTGTATTTCCATTAGGAATAATAACACATTTTAAAAAAAATAATACACTTTTTGATTACAAAAAAAGTAAAAGAGCAATTTTGAGCAAGTAATAGGAAAGGATACAGAGGCTGAGTGGGAAATGCTGAGCTAAACCCAAACATTACCAGCCTCCCCCTCTGCCTCTCATCAAGGCCCCGAGAAAGACAATTCTATTGCTCTGACAGCTCCCAGCCTAGTCATAGAGATGCTTAATAGGGTTCAGCTGTTCATAGCACGGCTGAAAACAGGAAATAGGGTGAAGAAAGAGGTCAGAACTTGCTGCTCCACGCTGCAAATCCTTGACCAGATCAGGGATGAAAAAGGCATCAGAAAAAGTGATCCCTGACTTTCCCGGTGGTCCAGTGGTTAAGAATCTGCCTGCCAATGCAGGGGACACAGGTTCAGTCCCTAATCTGGGACAGTTCCACATGTGGCTGGGAAACTAAGCCCGTGACCCACAGCTACTGAGCTTGCGCTGCAGGGTCCGAGCTCCGCAGCGAGAGCAGCCACCACAAGGAAGGAAGCCTGCGAACCACAACTAGAGACTAGCCCCTGCTTGCTGGAACTAGAGAAAACCCCCGAGCAGGAATGAAGACCCAAGTAGTCAAAAATAAATAAATAAATGATTTTCAAAAGGATTCGGTGTCAGGAATGTGCTAATAATCAGGGCATAATGTGTGAATTTATTACCTAGGCTGCCTTAGCAAAATAGCACAGAGGAGGGCTTCACAATAGAACTGGGATTTCCATCCTAGTCCAGTGGTTAAGACTGATTGCTTCTACTGCAGGGGGCATGAGTTGGATCCCTGGTGGGGTAAGTTCCACCTGCCACATGGTAAAGCCAGAAAGAAGAAGAAGAAAAAACTAATAATGTAAAATAATGTAATAACCTGATTTTTAAAAAACAAATAATAGAACTGTACCATCTGACAGTTCTGGAAGTCAGAAGTCCATGATCAAGATGTCATCAGGAGACTTCCCTGATGGTCCAGTGGTTAAGAATCTGCCTGCCAATGCAGCGGACACAGTTTCGATCCCTCCTGTGGGAAGATTCCACATGCCATGGAGCACCTCGGCCTATGTGCCCCAGTTAAACCTGAACACCTAGATCTTGAGCTCTGCAACAGGAGAAGCCACCGCAATGAGAAGCCCATGCACCGCAACTAGAGAGTAACGGTTGATCCCTGAAGCTAGAGAAAGCCTCCACAAAGCAAGGAAGACCCAGCTTAGTAAATAAATAAACATTATTAAGAAAAAAAGATGTTAAAAAAAAAGAAAAAAAAGATGTCAGCAGGGTTGGAACGTCCCTGGTGTCCAGTGGTTAGGACTCTGTGCTTCCATTTGCTGGAGACATGGGTTCAAGGCCTGGACAAGGAACTAAGATCCTTGAATGCCTGGTGGCGCAGCCAAGAAAAAAATACATATCAACAGGGCTGATTCCTGTGGAGGCTGTGAGGCAGGCTCTGTCCTATCCCTGTCCTCTATCTTCAGGCAGTTTGTTGGTGTCCTTTCCATTTCTTTGCATATCCAATGGGCTTCACTGGTGGCTCAGCCAGTGAAGAATCCACCTGCAATGCAAGAGACCTGGGTTCCATCCTTGGGTTGTGAAGATCCCCTGGAGAAGAGAATGGCTACCCACTCCAGTATTCTCAGCTGGACAAGCCCATGGACATAGGAGACTGGCAGGCTACAGTCCGTGGGGTTGCAGAGTCAGACATGACCGAGCGACGAAC